AGAATGGGTCTGTGCACTCAGTGTGTGCAGTATTAAAACAAATCTGGGAGCACTTAGTGCCTTGTGAGAGCACCAGTTCAATTGAGAGCCAGCTAGAGCAAATAGCATGGCAAACACCAGGGATTCACTGATGCCATGTCACATAACACTCCCATTTTAAGAAGAAAGTAAAAATAGGTTAGATAAATACATGAGTGAGAGTGGGTGGGTGTGAGTTGGACCTGACTAGCTTGTGCTACTAGGTCTGATGTCATGCTCCTTCCTTCAATGGATGTAACCTGACTAGGTGGGTCATTGGTCTAAGCCTGGGGGGGAAGGGGGGGTGACATGTACCTGCCTTGCATAGGCCAGCAGGCCTGTTGCAGTGTTCCTTCTTATGTTCTTATGTATTTGGCTGGCAGGCTGGCTTGCTTTGGCTGTCTCTCTGTCTATATTTCTATCTATATCTGTCTCACATATACATGTAAGTACAGTTATTATAGTGTAAATTACCTAGGATTACCCAAAAATTCCAGGCAAAGATAGACAGACTGATTGATAGACAGACAGACAGACAGACAAACATGTTTGTGTGTATCAGTGAAAAAGCCAGGGTTCCCCCGAGCGCCCATTTATCAAATGTCACTGGGCTGTCAACAGTTGTCATAACACCATTCTTCAAGGAGTTCCATATATGTATACTCCAGGCAGACAGAAAGACAGATAAGCAGAGACAGACAAAGACAATCAGAGACAGATAGGTAGATAGACAGAGACAGACAGATAGACAGACATGTTTGTGTGTAACAGTGATAAATACAGCGAGGGTTAGCTAAATACTCACATGTGAGTGTAATTATCTAGGATAACCCAAAAATTCCAGGCAAAGATAGACAGACGGACAAACATGTTTGTGTGTATCAGTGAAAACAAATAAAGCCAGGGTTCCCCAAGCACCTATTTATCAAGTGTCACTGGGCTGTCAACAATTGTCATAGCCCCATTCTTCAAGGAGTTTCATATACATATACTCAAGGCAGACAGAAAGACAGATAAGCAGACAGACAGATAGACAGACAGCAGGGTTAGCTGGAGCAGTGGGCATTTATCAAATGTCACTGGGCTATCAACAGTACAGGTGACCAAGCAGACTTGAATAACTATAGACCTATATCTAACTTACCACTCCTCTCTAAAACCTTTGAAAAATTAATTCATAGACAGGTCTATTCCTACCTCGTCTCACATAACATACCAATCTCCCTGTCAGTTTGGATTCAGGAATAATACAGCACAAATGATGCTATCATACACATGCTAGAACTAATATAAACAGCTCTCGAAAAGAAAGGAGTCCCGCTGGAAATCTTAATTGATTTAAGTAAAGCTTTTGATACAGTCGACCACGAACTGCTGTACACTAAATTAACACACTATGGTAAAAGAGGCCACTCCCTCAACTACCTAAAGTCATACCTTAGCAACAGAAGCCAATATGTGCACACAAATGGTGCAAACTCTTCCATACAACCAATCACAGTCTGAGTCCCACAGGGAAGCATCCTTGGACTACTCCTCTTTCTCATCTACATCAACGACCTACCGACTGCGTCACAGCTTCTCAAACCCATATTATTTGCAGATGACACTACATAAGACTTCTCTCGCCCAAACCCAGTCATGCTCACCAACACAGTCAATGCCGAATTACAGAAAATATCTGCCTGGATGATGACTTAATAAACTTACACTGAATACTGACAAAACCTACTTTATTCAGTTTGGAAACAAAGCTGCAAATGTTCCACTTAACATAACGCTAATGAATCACCTGTCACAAAACTCATGGAGGGAAAATTCCTAGGAATTCACCTTGACAGCTGCCTCAAGTTCCAAACACATATGCAACAGATAACCAAGAAAATCTCTAAGACTGTAGGCATACTATCAAAGATACGATACTATCTTCCACAATTGGCTCTCCTTGCACTGTATCATTCACTCGTCTACCCTTATCTCACATATGGAATTTATCCATGGGGATCAACAACATTAAATCACCTAAGACCACTAATAACCCAGCAAAAGGCAGCAGTCAGAATAAATTCCCACTCCCGACAGCATACTCCACCAATATTCATAAGTCTAAATCTGCTCACCATTAAGAACATCCATACTTATTCATGTGCTACTACATACACAGAACAACACACACAAACATAAACCCTCCACTCAAACTTTTTCTCACCAATCTTAACAGGACACACAACCATAACACAAGACACAGATATCTTTTTGATGTACCCAGTGTCCATATTACACTGTGTAAAAACTCTATGCACATAAAGGGACCCAAAATTTGGAATTCATTACCAGAAAATACCAAAGTAACTCAGTCTGAAAATCAATTTAAGACTCTTCTCAAAAGCCACCTAATCACCCTAGACTAAATACTCAATACTCAATATCTAATGCTACCAATAAATCTACCAATTACCTAAATCTTAAAACTTCATGACTAGACAACCAAGCTCATATACTGACAAATTACCACATAGAAGTATACATACCTACCAAAACCAGTATTACCCTTCACCAAATTGTAGCAGTCTCATTGTAAAATACTGTAAACTACTGAAAACTACTCCTGAATCATGTTTCATAAAAAGTATTTTTGAACACATGAATATATCCTTTTGTTTGTGTAAATTAGATTCACTTATTATTAATAGAACTACTGTACAACTATGATAATTTCTTTAGTGATAAGTAGTCAGTAAGCCATTGAATTAAGTCAGCCCATAATGCCAAGGCATAATAGATGCTCTCTTTGCACTGCAACCCATCATTGTAAAAAAATATAATCTCAATGTACTACTTGCAAAGAAATAAATGAATCTGAATCTGAATAGGGATGCCTTTCATAACACCATGCTTCAAGGTATATGCCAGGGTATCTAAAACATTGCTGGGACCTATAAATACTTTGTATATATTTCTAGACAATAGCAAATAACCCAGGCAGGTGTAAATGTTCACCTGTCAATGTGATTGTGACTATTTGAGCACTATTTCAGTACCTAATAATAGCTAATCTTTGTTCTGACACTATGAAATCAAAAGAACTATTATAAATTGTAATTATTAGAACATAAAAAATGTATAAATTAAAATAAAAATGAGGAAAAAAGGTATGTACAAGAATGGTATACAGTACAGACAAGATGAAATTAAGACACATGTGCAACATCTGGGTATCTTTACTGTAGACGTTTTGCCATCCAGTGGCTTTATCAATACAAATTCCAGGACATAATTTGAAGACAGTAGAACTTATAAAGGTAGAGTTAATTTTACTGTTTTTAAGAGCATATGTAATATTAGTATTTTAAAAGTATCAGTTGGTATCAGCCAATTTTTCAGATACCACTAGTATACCTAATACCCAATGATACTTTGGCACACCCCTAATATTTTACTTATTGTATTCCATATATTCCTGTCACACAGTGTGTTTACACATTTATCTGTTTTTACCCAAACTTTCCCCATGGTCACATCCATAAAACTCTTGAATAACCATACAAGAATTACACCACTGACTCGTTCACATAAGCTCTAAATGTATCTTTTTGTTAGAGATTAGATTAATTGTGCAAGAGGTAATAAACCCCCACACTGATGTCACTCTAGCAGCTTCCTATCGTATATTAAATATCAACTTGCCAAACAAAACAAAAAAAAATGGCTCCAACATTAGGCAGCCATAATGTTAGAGGAGATCAAGCATTCTTCTTTTCCTGCTGATTTTCAATTGAATAAACCAGTGTTGTCAACCTTAATAAGTAGAAAATTCTTTAGTAGTGCTGCTGCATGGTTACCTTTGATATACTTTTTAAGAGTTTCAAGAGTTTCTCTGCTCTCTGAGCCTGGCCATGGGCCAGGCTTGTCTGGTGCTTGCCTGGTCAACCAGGCTTTTGCTGCTGGAGGCCATCACAGCCTGGTTGATCTGGTTTGTAACAAGTTTGTGATTTTTCTTAGAGGATTGCCCAAGGAAGTCTCATGCTATTTTCAATTATCATCATCGAGAATTGCTTCATATCTTAATATTTAAGTTTCCTCATATCTTTCAGATCATAACTGCCTCCTCCTTTATCACATCTTTTCCTTAACTAAGCTTCATTTCCTTTCCTGAATTCTCAAGTATCTTCATTTAAACTAATCTCATGTACAATTTTAGTGATAATTTCACCACTTTGATGACATTCAAAACATGTCACAATCATTAATTTTCTGTAATTTTGCTTCTTAATCATGTCAATGCTGACTTAAGAAATCGTAATGACACGATTGCAAATAAACCATACCCCCGGCCGGGATTGAACCCGCGGTCATAGAGTCTCAAAACTCCAGCCCGTCGCGCTAGCCACTAGACCAGCTAGCCACATGACCGCGGGTTCAATCCCGGCCGGGGGTATGGTTTATTTGCAATCGTGTCATTACGATTTCTTAAGTCATGTTGACGGCAGTGAAGGGACTTGAGCTAGAGTTCGTCACGGCCACGCTAGCTGGAGATTCGTCTGTAAAAAACTTGCATTTGTGGTCACAGAGGTGCCTGTGCTAACTTTCCTATGGTGTAGAAATATACCTAGTTGGATGAATCTTATTGTGGCTAGCTGGACTAGTGGCTAGCGCGACGGGCTGGAGTTTTGAGACTCTATGACCGCGGGTTCAATCCCGGCCGGGGGTATGGTTCATGTCAATGCTATTAAGTTATCCTTTAAGATACATAAATGCACAAAACAGTGCACAAAATGTCTAAAACAAGCAAAAGCTGAAGCAAGACTCACCAGCTCAGAGACCTAAGGGTGACCGAGGCAGCCTAGTACCACATGTTGTGGTACTAGGCTGCCATCCATCCATAGAAAGAATATACCTGCAAGTAAATTGTGACTTAATACAAGATTCTTTCTCTATGCTGTTAAACCAGCCCTAGACCTTCAACATAGCTCTTGTCTTACCTCCGCCGTGGGTCCTGTGGGGATCTGGGGCGGGAGGGGGAGGCAGCTTTGCGAGGAACAATGCTCGATGGATCCCGTGGGTCACGAGGGCGAGATGAAGCCCGGTTTTCTCTTTCCTTTTCATCAGCGCTCCCCTCCCCAATATCACTATATCCTAGCTCATCTCTGTATAATTCCTTGAATCCAGTGTGTGCCCACCTGTTACCCAAGTAACAAATCAAAAAAAGGTTAATTTCATATATAATTTTTTCCCCTAACACAATGAGCATCTTGCACAAAAAAATTTGCATACACTGAAACAATTTTTTTTACCTGTTTGGTTGAGTGGCTTCAGCATCCAATAATTTCTTAGTCCAGAAAGTATCTTTTGTACGAGTGGAAGCTTCTCGTCGTGCACGCACAACCACTTGTTCCATGGGACCTCTCTCTCCTGCAGTTCCATGATCACCATCTTAGGTTAATGAAATTTTGCTCAAGGTTTATACCATCTGTCCTTGCCAGACACATACGTATATTTAGCTATTAAAAACAACAAAGAAAAGACTGCTACAAAAAGAACCAAGCCTAAAAACTCAGTACATACTTGTGACATATCATAGGTATGCATGGACAACAGTTTACAGGCATTTATGCCTGAATTTTTCTCTTCCAGCAACCCAACCATGATCAGACTTTTCCTGGTAACTGCATAATCAATCAAGCTATTTACAGTTTGCAACCCTAATCAACCCAAATGACCAAACACAAATACTTACACAAATATACCCATTTCAATAGGTATCTACATAGAAGTCAAAAACCTCACACTATATACGTGCTCTCCTTGACAGAATGGAGCAGCTCAACAAAGTGAAATTACTTTCAAAATTACTTTCTGTGAGATCAAGAGATTCAGCAAATGGTGCAAAAATACAAAACCCCCAATGCAAAGCAAGGGTACAATGAGTACACTAAGAGATAACTCATAAGTATGAAGGGCCCAGGACTTGTTAACATCCTTCTTTTATAGAGAGTTTTACAGTCACTGACTTGAGCCATGAAGGCCTGCATGCTGGAAGGCAAACATGCTATTGTCTTTCAAAAGCCATTAGAAGCAATAAAGTAAAATTTATAAAAGTTATGCCAAGCTGATGTCATTAGTATACATATATGCAAATTTAATTATCATTATGTAGACCTAAATTTAAATATATGAGTTGTAGACAGTTTATGACTCCATATTCTCATTACTCCCTAGTGTCATTACTTGCTGTAAATAGCCTGATGTCTGAATGTAACACTAATGTGCACTAGATACAGAAATACACAAATTATTAACAAGATGATTAAAGTTAAACTTTTGTGGATTCCATTACATGCCTTTGGGAGCATGATTAAGTGCCTTGGTTAAACTAAATCACAAACTTGTTGACTAGATATGTCTACATACGTGTATCAATAACAGTGGTGCACGATAAATATGTTCTGTGAATAAAAGCCTTCATTACAGCTATTTTTTTTGCTTTCCCCTATGGTTCCAGACTTATGGAACACCTTGTAGTATAATAAATGAAAACTAATTTTGGACATTCATATATAATTTTTTTTTTTCAAACATAAGTTTAAAACCATTGTCCACTCAAGGGAAGTTCCTTGATGCCAGTGAGGGGGCTCTTGATGCAAGGAACTGAATCTGACCTCCCCTTCCTTGAATTGAACCTGACTGCCTCACATTCCCCCAGGCACTGTGACCCCTATGGGCTTAAAACTTTCCCATGATCTGGACATTTAAAAAGAATAGAACAAAATAGGATGACTAGAAGGGTTTATAAATTTAGGGTGAAGAGAAGGACAGATAGAGGTCATCCCAGGAAAGGTTGGAGGGCAAGAGTAAAGAAAGTTTTTAAATGGTAGAAGTTTGACCATCTAATAGGACTGTTTGAGAACACTGAATTGGAGTGAATGGAGGCAAGTGACATACTGTGAGCAAGTTAAGATTTATGAAGGGATCTAAGGAAACCAGTTAGCCAGAGTAGAGTCCTCGAGGTGGGAAGTGCAGTGTGAGCACTTTGAAAGAGGCATGGGGATGTTGCAGTTCAGACGACCAACTGAATTGTAATGTCAGCACCCTTCTGGGAAGACAGACTGAATGAATAATGAACGAGTTTTCTCCTTTTTTTGGACCACTTTACCTTGGTAAAAGATGGTCTGTGTTAAAAAAATAAAATAAAATAAAGAACTAGCACATGAATGTGAAGAAACCAGAAGAAAACAGACAGGAACTACTTGATCCACTGCCCATCATAATGAAAAGTTTCAATGTACATGTCATGTCTATGGAGAAAGTAACAGGCAAACTATGAGATGCTGTTAATGCTAGAATAAGGCTCGGCTATAAATATCTATGGCAGTTCAGCTTGAATTGAGATGAAAATAACATGAAATGTAAAGTGTGACATTAGCTATACACTAAAACATTACATATTAGTGTCAAGACATTCAGCCATTTACAGACACGTCCGGTCAATCAATACAGGAAATAATAAATCACTTCATTGTTAATAGGATAACTGAAATCTTACACTTGTATCCACACTAGATAATGAAGCTATTTTATGAGATTCCAACATAACCATTGTTTATAGTGGAAATGATAACTTTTTAAAGATTTTATTTATACTGTATAATGCACTGATACACAGTAGACCTTTGAATAACAGGGTAGTTACATTCTGAAAACAGCCTGCTATGCAAAAAATGTCTTAAATAAATAGAATAGCACATGGGGAAAATGACCTCCAAAAATGGCAAGCAAATGTTTTTTTTATTTTTTTTTAACAGACTGGCCGTTTCCCACCAATGTAGGGTGACCCGAAAAAGAAGAAACACTTTCACCATCACTCACTCTAACACAGTCTTGCCAGAGGCATGTCAACATTACAGTTTAGATGCCCCACCAAACTCCAGTATCCCCACTGCTCCTCCAGAGTGCAGGCACTACTTCCCACTTCCAGGACTCAAGTCTGGCTAACCAATTTCCCTGAATCCCTTCATAAATGTTCCCTTGTTCACATTCCAGCAGCATGCCAAATCATAAGAAACACTAGTCTTCACTCACTCCTATCTAGAATGTTGGCAAAAGCCTGTTAAATGTCCAAGCACACAAAACCTCCTTTACCCCTTCCCTTCAACCTTTCCTAGGATAACACCTACCCCTCCTTTCCTCCACTTCAGATTTATACTCCAAGTCATCTTATTTTTCTCCATCCTCTCAATGTCCAAACCATCTCAATAACCCTTCCTCAGCTCTTTGGGTAACACTCTTCATAAATCCACACCACCTAATCTCCAAACTATGAATTCTCTGCATAATATTCACACCATACATTGCCCTCTGACATGACATCTCCACTGCCTTCAGCCTCCTCACTGCAACATTTAAAACCCATGCTCTGGTACATTCTTCTTTTGCCTCCATGGATAAAGTTGTTTCCACAGATGCCTCAATGCACCACCCACCTTCTTCCTCCCATCAACTAATGGTTCAACTCATCTTTCATAGACCTGTCCACTGATAAGTCTACTTCCAATATCAAATATAAAAAATGAAGATTTTGACCCCTTATATTGTAATTTCATTCCTTATTGATCTAGAAATATGTTATGTACCTAAATCCTGAGTAAGAACTTGTGTTTCTAGATAAACTCACTCCATGAGGCCTAGGGAAAGATGGAGTTTGAAGCAGTATACCACTGATTCCTTCCAGAGAAAAGTGGCATGGTGTTCCATCCAGAAACAATACAGAAGGCTAATATTCCATTAGTGACTTATGAAATCAGGCACAGTCTTATCAGTATAAAATAAGAAAAAAAAGAACAAGAAAGAATTTTACCCTACCTTAAATACTAATGAACTTTTATCATAATTATTATTATTATTACAGGTATTTTTTTTACACAGTGGCAGTCTCACAATGTGGTCAAGTGGTGCAAAAAAGAGGAAAGACATTCACTGCCATTCATCCAATCACTGTCTTGCCAGAAGTATGCTGACATCACAGTTCAGATGACCTTCTAAACTGTATTTCTTCAGAGTACAGGCACTATACCTCCCACCTCCATGACTCAAGTCTCACTTAATCCCATCATAAACGTTACCTTGCTCACTTTGGAAAAGTAAGTTATGAAACTACTCATCTCCACTCCGATCTAACATGCTCAAACAAGCTTGCTGGATGTTGAAGTCCCTAGCACTTAAAACCTTTCCCACATCCCTCCAGCTCCTCCTGGAATTACCCCAAACCATCTTTCCTTTTGCCACAATACAGTATTATACTTCAAATATAAAATGCTTTGTTGGGACTCACAAAAAGTAAACACATCACCACTAGCACATGCTTGACTGCCAGCATTCTGGCAGCTCACCCTGTGACATCACTTGAAACTCTCTATACAAAAGGGAAATTGCCAACAGACCCTTAGCTATCCTCAAGAGGAAACTCAGCAAGTACCCCTCATAAGAGGGGCTGTGATGCCTAAAATGGACAGCATATGGCTAGCACCACTAATCAGGCTATCAAGCATGACACCTGATCCAGTACTGAGCCATGGGGATGTGACCCCCAAAATATATTACAGGTAAAAGTATTAATAAAGTCAATTACTTGAACCTGTCAGTATTATATACCACTGATGTTATAGGTAACCTACAGGAAGCAAAGAGCAGGCTATAGGGACCTCAAGGTAAACCTTACTAACCCCTGCACCAATATATTTATTGCTCCTGGAAATCAACATGCTCAAGACCAGCCAATACTGCATTTTCTGAAAAGTGATTTTGATGAACCACTATAAGAAGCTATCAATCTTACCCTTAAAATTCCAATACTAGATCTCCCTACCAACAAAATGAATATTCCTTTCCTTAAACAAGACTAAGTCCTGAAGCACTGCACAAAACAGGCACTAACAGCACAACAGCTAAACTCCCTACCTGTATTTACCCATGATTTACCTGTGACCATTTTGAGGGCTCTTCTACCCTGCAGCCCAGCCTCAGGTCAGGCTTTCCTGTTGACTGCCTGGTCAACCAGAACCAGGCTGTTTATGCTAGCATCCTACAGGCTAACATAACCATCACAATCTGGCCAATCTGACACCTAAAGTAGCTGTCAAGTTTCACAAAAACTTCTATCTTCCTCCTTCCAGCAGTATTTCTGATATCTGGTGGTAGCATGCTGGAAGAGTCTTGAGCCATGAATGTTGACATACTACACACAAATAACCCGTACATAGAAGAGAGGAGCTTACGACGACGTTTCGGTAATACTTGGACCATTTACAAAGTGACACTAACGAGAAGGAGAGCAGGATGGGTACATATAGGCAGGAGGTGGTGGTAGTAGTAGTAGTGGAGGTGGAAGGAAGTAGTAGTGGGGAGGTAGTAAGAGTAGGAGGGGCCAGTCAAATACTAAGAAAGAGGAGCACTGCAAGGGAGCAGGTGCCCACAGAAGATAAGAGCAACAACATCAAGGGGGGGGGGGGAACAAACAAGTAAATAAAGAAGGAACAAATACACAGGGCAGAAGAAAGACAACCCAAAGGAGAAAAAGGAAAAAAGAAAGTGGAAGAGGGAGAAGAAAAAAGGAGGAATAAGATTAGGTCATGAGTATTCTGAAGTTTGGAGCATTTTACAATGTAGTGGGAGAGGAAGGCATCTACAGACACGAAGCCAAGACTAAGATTCATACAAGGAAAGTTGTGCATTAGGGAGGATTTAACCAGACGGCAACTGTTAAAGTTGGAAGTAGGGAAAACAGTTTTAGCAGAAGACCAGTCAATAGGATGGCTGTGATGGCTTTTCTTGATGTTCATGTCCACCGCTCAGATACAGGTTTTGCCTTTTCCGTTTACCGCAAGCCTATGTACAGTGGCATGTACATTCACTACTTTTCTTATCATGCTTCCTCTGTCAAGAAAAGTGTTCTTATCTCCCTCTTTCTCCATGCTCTCCACATATGTGATCCTCAGTTCCTTCAATCAGAAACTTCCACTCTTCATAATTCATTTTCCCATCTTGGCTACCTTTCCCATTTCATAGACTCTGCCTTCTCACATGCTAAATATAATTTCTTCTCTCCCAAACTCTCTACTCCTGGGAACTCTTCTGTCCTCTGCCTTCCCTACATTTCCGGTCTTTCTAATCTCAACAACTCTCTCCGTTCCTTAGACATCAAACTTACTTTCCGCCAGACTAACACTCTTCGCACTAATCTCGTTCGTACCTCTCCTCCCTCTACAGATGCTCCTGTTGTCTACTCTATTTCTTGTTCCTCCTGTCCTCTTCAATACTTTGGAGAAACTGGTCAATCTCTGTCTGACAGACTTGGGGAGCACAAAAATAGTGTTAGGCTTGCCGACACTAACAATGCTCTTTTCTGTCACGTCAGAGATCACAGCCATCCTACTGACTGGTCTTCTGCTAAAACTGTCTTCCCTACTTCCAACTTTAACAGTCGCCGTCTGGTTGAATCCTCCCTAATACACAACTTTCCTTGTATGAATCTTAGTCCCGGCTTCGTCTCTGTAGATGCCTTCCTCTCTCACTACATTGTAAAATGCTCCAAACTTCAGAACACTCGTGACCTAACCTGATTCCTCCTTTTTTCTTCTTCTCCCTCTTCCCCTTTCCTTATTCCTTTTTCTCCTTTGGGTTGTCTTTTTTCTGCCCTGTGTATTTGTTCCTTCTTTATTTACATGTACTTATTTATCTTTTCCCCCCCCCTCGGTGTTCTTGCTCTTATCCTCTGTGGGCACCAGCTCCTCTTTCTTAGTATTTGACTGGCCCCTCCTACTCTAACTACCTCCCCACAACTACTTCCTTCCACCTCCACTACCACCACCACTACTACTACCACCACCTCCTGTCTATATATACCTATCCTGCTCTCCTTCTCGTTAGTGTGACTTTGTAAATGTTCCAAGTAGGACCGAAACGTCGTCGTAAGCTCCTCTCTTCTATGTGCGGGTTATTTGTGTATCGTTCCAGTCACGGTATTGTGGTTTTTCTGTTATTTGTTGAAACACTGTTCTCTAATTGTACTCATGGTCCCCCCTGCTCTTCACTGGGTTTATCCCACAATTTTTCCCAGATCTTGCACTCCAGTAAATTATCATAGCAGTATGTAGATTAGAGACTAGGTCTCCAGGATATGTTAGCAGGTCTCTTCTCTCTTCAGAGTCCTAGAGAAAGCAATTCAGGTGCTTTAACCCCTTCAGCGTTGGTTCTCTTATATAACGGCTTTGAAGTCAGTGTCAGTCCTGTAGCACTACGCCATGAACTCAATTCACTCAGATAAGCTGTGAGCAGTAAATTTGGGCCTAGATATGAGAGAATGGGTCTATGTGGCAAGTGTGCACCATATTAAAAATCCTGCAGCATGCAGTGCATCAGGAAAAAACTACGACTGAGTTTTTGGTTTAAAACAGCGACTTTGAGTTGTATTTTCGTATGGTTTTTATGTATATATTCTTGGTTTCTTCATCTCATTTGATAGAATGGACGATATATTACAGAAATAGAGATGATTTTGATTAGTTTCAAGGCTAAAAGTAGCTTGAAATTGAGCTCAAAGCAGCAGAAATGTTCAATTTTTGCCAATACTCCAGAGTACACAAGTAGCATCACTTATCCAATATGCATCCAACTGGCCAGTCTAATACACATTTAGGAATGCACTGACATTATTTATACAATTATTACAATAATGCAGTAGTCTGTATAACAATAAATCTTCTATTTCTGTGTGAATAAAAATTCAAAATGGAAAACACGTGTAATATAAAAGGGGCCTGGAGACATGACTAAGGAACAGAGGAAATGCTTTTTAGTGCCAGGAATGTCTACATTCTTTATTCTGAACCCTATTTTTAAACTGGCAATTTTTTAATTGTGCAAAATTGGCCAAATTACCAATTTCTGATCACTATTGGGTAGTTGAAATTAGTAAATGGGCAGTTTCTTGTACTCAATCGAATCTATAATTGTTTGCTACTGCTTTGCTGTCACCTTTGTGGGGTGGGGGCGACATCTGTTTTTTTTAACTGTGGGATGACCCAGGGAAGGGGTGCCCCAAGTGACACCATTTGAAGGGTGACATCATAGAGCCTCTAAAGAGGGTAACACTAATGACCAAAACCATGATGCAGGACCTAAGAGAAAAATGCTTCATTTCTATATAGCCTATTATGGGATTACAGAGTACAAATAGGCCTATATAGGGAAAATCATTGATTTTGATGATGTGATAGATGATTTTGCAGGATTAGAGGGAAGGATATGAAATAACAGATTCTTTGAGATGTTACCTGTACTCAAGGTTAAATCGGAACTAGAGTTTATCTTTATTTTTCAAGTTTTTTTTTTTTCACTGTTGAAGATGAATAAATATAGGATATGTTGCCTGTGCTCAAAGTTGTATTTGAGTTTATATTTTCTCATATTACTACGATTATTTATTTTATCATTAATAAGGTTCAGTTCATGGCCTTTAAATGTTCTCATTGCTAAATATTAGTCATTGGGCATGCAGCAGTGATGTAACTGGAGTTTACTACCCCTATCCCCCAGCCCTTGGATTTCATGGGGGTGACACCAAAAATTCTGCCCCGGGTGACACCAACCCTAGTGATGCCTCTGGGAGGACCCCCATATAAGAACATAGGAAACAAGGAGCACTCCATGGAATATTATGGCACATCATAGGGGCTTCCTGCACTTCTTGAAGAACATGGAGTTCCTAGAGCCTGAGCCTGGGGCAGAGTGCATGGGCATGCTCTCAGTGGTTTTTTCAAAGCCAAGTGGGGCTGGAGTTGTGTTCAAAATTTTGGAGATGTTGATAAAGTTCATGCAGAAATCATTCAGACTGTCAATATTTAATTTAGTTAACAGCTTACTGAACACAGTCATACTGAGACTTCAGCATTTCACTCATTTCTTTGCTATCATCAGTGTAAGTTCCATTTTGTTTGAGCAAGGGCCCAATACAGGATGTGGTTTTCACAAAGGGTCAACTGTCTTTGTAAAATCTGTGTAGATTACATCAACATTTTGCTTTTCTTCCAAGATCTACATAATTTTGTCATAGTGACAGGCATGATCTTATGTAGGTCATGTTCTTCCATAACTCAGTAACTTGATGTCTCAGAACCTTTTCAAAGATTTTCATGATGTGTGATGTTAGCGCTATCAGTCAGTAGATATCTGCTACTGTCCTGCTGCCCACTTTGTAATTAACAATTAGGTAAGACTGATTGGAGACCATGTTGGAATCAGCGTGGTCTCCTGTCTCGCCTGCCACAAAAGGTTGATGTATGAGTGAAAAGTGGTTATTCAATGAAAACTGACCCTAAGAATATTTTTGTCATTTAAAATTATGCTGTGCAAAGGTTCTTTCTAAGGAAGTATGCTGTACAAGAAATATTGCCAGAACAAGGTTGGAAGTCTTCAAGAGAAACAGGAAAATTTCCTGAAAGATATGCTAGGTTGTGATGGCTATGTAGGACTATGTGCTATGGGCAGCAACAGCTTGGCTGATCAGGCAGCCAACACGAATATGTGGCCTTAAAGTAAGGCTGTGAAAGCTTAACTCTCAGAACCTATCAAATGTATATCACATGCAAAGAGAACAAGATCTGATCTGAGAATATGAACAAAGACAATCACCACTAAAACATTAATAATAAACAATGCTGTTAACAATCCAAAATTAATCATATTTTCTCGTGCTTAGTATAATACAGAAAAATAAGCAGACATCCTACCATCTTTAGGATCCCGCAATAGCCTTTCAGCACGTGGTGGTCTATAGTCATCCATTCTCATCCTCATGGAGGCAATGGGCTGTTTGTTGCCTCCAGACATTGGTGGTCCTCCACCACCACCACCACCTCCACCCCTTGCCCGTCTGCGACGGTTACGACCTTTTCGTCTGCCGCCATGCATAAAATGTTTTCTGCCACCGCCACTATTATTAGCAACTCCATTGCCACCAGGTAAAGGGACTGGCCTGGGTGGTGGACTTCGCGGTCCACGTCGGGATGTTGTACGTTCTGCACTACGTCTCTGTGGGAAGTAACATTTCTGATTAAGTAACTCAAAAGTGGGGCTAGATTTTTAGCTATAAATATGTGACTAATATTTTTAAGACAAAAATTACATCAATTAAAACCTATACATATATGAATTGCAGCAAGGTATATATAGCTAAATTTATGAATTCATTTCATTACAACACACAAGTCTACATAAAGGAAGTAATTTAAAAATTATTAAAAAAAAAAAAAAGCTACAATAAGCAAAATAATTATTTTTGTTTTTAGAATAAGTTAAAAGAAAAGATTAGAAGAAATGGACTGACCAAAAAAAGCAAAAACATTTTGAAACCTCTATTGCAGACTTTCTAACATGGCTTCAAGGATATTTTCCAAAGAATAGTAATCTAAAATGGCACTCACAAATTTAACAAAACAAATTACTTCAAAGAGAAAATGGTTAAATCACCTCTTTGTTTCCTCCATACTCACCAAACCAAATCACTGAGTATATAGAGCACAAAGTATTTAATGCCAGCCAAGTTAGTGTGCTCAGCAAGTGTGCTTGGCTAGACAGCCAATCCCTTGGGCAGAATTTGTGGGCCACACCACTTTCTGCATGGCCTCCCAAGGGTGGCACCTGAGCCAAGAAGCTGTGGCACGGCTCTGTTTACTGTGTGCCAGCAACAAGTGTGCAAGGTGAGTGCTCCTTTTCCACCCATCACTGTAAGTGGAGCTCAGCCTTGTTGGCATATCCACTTCCTCTTGTAGCAGAACTACCTCCATCATCACTTTGGCCATTACAAAAGCCAATCTTCCAGTAAGTTCCTTCACTGTTATTTTTAAGCATATGACAGTCCAGATAAGCAAACATTTGGATTTTATGAGCAGAGTATAACAAGAGAATCTCACAAGACATTAAGTTTTATTCAAGCATACTCAGTCAACTTTACACTATCTTTTGTTAATTATCTACTGCAAAAAAGATACATTCCCCCTAATTTACCTGGACATCTACAATGATCTGTCCCAAAGAGATACCTTTTTAACAACAATTTTTTTTTCCAATTCCACTACAAAGCTCATTCATTACATATTTCACAAGGCCTGTAACATCAGCCTTGTACTCTCTGAAACACTGAAGTCAGTTTTCCAAGCCTTACAGCTCTAAGTTATAAACTCTAAGACTTATGCAAGCTATTACTCAAGGGCCAGTGCTAAATCCATAAGTGTCATACAGCCCATAAAGAATGGGAGAAGTGGAATGTAATTAGGTTTGATCCAAGGAAGGGGAGGATATCTCCAAATCTTTAGATGAAGAGCCCTTCACCAGCATCAAGGTAATCCCTTGAAGAGTGTCTGGATATATATATGTGTGTAGAAAGTTGTCCACTCCTTGTTCCAACATTACAGGTTTACAGGTACACTTTCACCCTTTGTATAAGTTCTTATAATATTAATTTAGGCCTATATACACAATTTTCGACTACCAAATTTCAAACAATACAGTTAAGTGCATAATGCAGGTGAGGCATGTGAATGCTGTACATTTGCACTCACAGCTAAAAAATTATAAATAAAAAGCATGAAATTATTTTGAGTAAATGCTCGCTGAATATAAAAGATCCTACATGATTTTTCTGTGATGTTATCTTTTTTTTTTTTTATTAATACTCCAAGGCAGGGTGACCCCACAAACAAGCTCACTGACATTCCAGCTCAAATCACTCTCCAAGCCCCAACATCCCCACCATCTCAGGGACTCAAGTCAGGCTAACTAGTTTCCTTAAATCCCTTCATAAATGTTACCTTGTTCACACTCCAACAAGTCATAACAAAAAAACCATTTGCCTCCACTCATTCCTATGTAACATGCTCACACAAGTCAGTTGGATGCTCAAGTCCCTAGCACTCAAAACCTCATTTGCCTCCTCCCTCCAACCTTTCCTAAGACAACCCCAGATTTCAATACCCTCCTAATCATTTTCTTTTCCTACATTATCCTCAGATAAATACTCCTAGTAACTCCACACATCATAATCTCTAATTAATTTTATATTAATGCCATCAGAATCACATATAAATTAAAAATCTCCTAAGCTGGGACACCAACCCATCAAAATCTGCAACTCATGGCTTAAAATTTGAATTCCGAACCAGCCACAGAATCTTTTCTAAAACAAGATTAATGGGTGTATGTGGCTACACACACTAAAATACTTTATGAATGCCTGGAGGGTGTTCCGGGGGCAGACACCCTCACAGTCCGGTCCATGACCAGGCCTCACAGTGGATCAGGACCTGATCAACCAGGCTGTTACTGCTGGCTACACACAGTCCGATGTACAAACCACGGCCCAACTGATCAGGTATTTTCTTGTGAATGTAAGTAGTTTACTTTAATTAGAGCCAAACTTAAGCTTTAACCCTTGAAGTACTATGGTGCTAAAAATAAAACCTACCATATGATCCACTAAATTTAAACAAAAAATTTATTTTTCTTCCAAATTATTATAATAAAAAATGAAGTGTTTTTCTTCCAAAATTGAAGGAATTAATTTTTATGGTGGTAATAAAACAAACAGCACTGAAATACAAGTAATATTTAATCCCTCAACTGCAAAGCTGGCATTTTTAGTGGTTGGTATGGCAACATTGGGTCCTGCTGCTCTCTGCATAATGTAAACAGTGATTTTTCAAACTTTTCTTCAATTTATGTATTTTTTTTTTTTTTTTGCTTTGTTTTCACCAACATTGAATAGAACTGCATCTTTATGGACACTGTAGTTATTTTGAATTAATTACAAGTAAAATAATGTATTCACTCACTAAAAATATACAGTAGGGCCCTGCTTTACAGCATTCCGCTAATATGGACATTTCAAATTATGACCAAAACTCTCTATATGCCTCTCCCCACCTGACTTTCTAATACGGTCACTGCGCCCTACCCGGTTTGTTTACAATCTCCATGAAAATGACTCCATTATGTTTGGAAACTTTCCAAAATTTCAAGTGTTTTAAAGTTATTTCATGTTTTATACATACAGTGGAACCTCAGTTTTTGTCTTTAATTCATTCCAGAAAGTCTGAGGAAAACCGAATTCGATGAAAACTGAAGCAATATTTCCCATAACAAATAATGTAAATCCAATTAATCCATTCCAGACACCAAAAAGTATTAACAAAAAATGCATTTTATAGAGAATAACTATAGTTTTACATACAAAAAACAATGAGAAATAAATATAAATGACTAATGAAATGGATAAATGTACATTTAACATAACTTTTACCTTTATTGAAGACTCTTGTTGGCATATGGAAGGCGGAGAGGACGGGATAGGGAGGAGAGGTTATTGTGTGGAAGGGGAATTTGGTAAGGTGGATGAAAACCGAGGTGGTGAACGAAAACTGGGACAAAATTTTGACGAAAAAAGGCGTTGAAAACTGAATTCGACAAAAACCAGGGCAAACGAAAACTGAAGTTCCACTGTATTCTGATAATTATACTTGTGTATAATTGTCAGAGTATATTTAAAACATGAAATAAACTTACACACTGTGCTGGCATGCAGGTACACATTAAAATCACTAAGAATGTCTTATTAGTCTCAAAGATGCCATAATAAAAATGATTATAAATGCAACAATAATAATAATAAAATACAACAATAATCACTGAGGTGCATTAACCCTTTCAGGGTCCGTCCCGTAGATCTACAGCTTTACGTTCAGGGTCCAAATCGTAGATCTACGTCATGAGCTCAGCTCACTCTGATAAACTGTGAGTGGTACATTTGGGCCTAGATATGAGAGAATACATCTATGTGGTATGTGTGCACCACATAAAACAGATCCTGCAGCACACTGTGTATAATGAGAGAAAAAAACTGAAATCATGATTTTTCGATTAAAACAGCGACTTTGCAGTATTTTTTCGTATGTTTTTTATAGTTGTATATGCGATTTCTTGGTCTCATTTGATAGAATGGAAGACATATTACAGAAATAGAGATGATTTTGATTGGTTTTAGCACTGGAAATGGCTTGAAACTGAGCTCAAAGTAGCAGAAATGTTAAATTTTTGCCGATATTCAAGAGTAAACAAACGACTTCACACATCTAATACACGCCAGCTGGTGGGTCTAATATGCATTCACAAATATGGTGATGATATTTATACAATTATTACAGTATTCCATAACAGTAAATCTTCTATTTTTTGGTGTGAATAAAAATTCATTATGTGAATAAAAAATCAAAATGGAATTTATTTGTAAAGCCTCAAAACGTAACTAATGAACAGAGGAAATGTTAGTTTAGTTCCAGGAATACCTACATTGTTTATTCTGGACCCTATTTTGAAATTGGAATATTTTGAACTTTGTGTTAAATTGGCCAAATTAACAATTTCCGATCACTTTAATTTGTAGTTGAAACAGTTGACTTGGCGATTTCTTGTGCTCAATCGATAGAATAGAAGTAATACTAGTGAAATAGCTAAGAATTTGGTTGACTGGAATAATATAATTGGCCTAAAATGGGAGTCAAAGTCGGCAAAATCGCTGACACATAAAAATTCGCGAGAGCATAATTTTGTCAATTTTCCATCAAATTTCGTACTTTTTGTTTTATTACCTTCACAAAAAGATTCTCTACCATTTCATAAGAAAAAACAACAAATTTTTTTTTTTAAATTCTTGGACACTGGGGCACCACTTCAGATTTGGGCCTTGGACCCTGAAGGGGTTAAATGTCTTATATTACGTAATATAAACATTTTCACTAATCCAGCTATGATAGTTTTTTCAAAATTATATAATAAACATGCTACGTAACATATAAACATGATAAATCCACCCACAGTAGAGTAAATTAACATATATATGAGATGTTTTTCCAATCATCACGGAGTTTCGGAAAGAACGACGTTTTCTCTAGTTCAACACCAAAGAAAATGCATACACAATAGTATTACTGGGAGTAACTGGAAAAAAATGATTCCTTTTGTATGCCTTCACTCAGAGCGTTACATGAGAATGGGAGTGTTGCTCTTTATTTATTCTACTTTACCAATGTGGAGACAACTTGTACACAATGTAAGATGTTTGTATTATGATATAAACTTCACAGACATGGGAATGAATGTGTATCAACCAAAACAAGATGTGTTTGTCTGTTTGTTTACATACTCTGTGGCTCTGTCCTCTCTCATTCTCTCTCTCTCATTCATTCTCTCTTTCATTTTTTTTTGTATACACAGGGTTTGACAAGGTTAAGGATCCCTAGCTTTATTGACAAGCTATTTACAGGTTAAGGATTCCTAACTTTATTGGCAAGCTAAGAGCTGTTACCTACCTATATCAGCTCATTTGAAAGCATTTTCATTGTTATGAGACATACAAGTGGGGAACAGGATGAAGTTGGAGCCATCTGTGGGCCAGCATTTTCATTTGATCAACTGACTATCTCGTTGACATCATTATGCTGTACGAATGTGTTCCATACTCGAGTCATCCTGGGTATACATGATCTCAGATGGAGTGATGTTCTGGAGAAGGGTACAGCCAGAGTGAAGTTGCTGCTTTCTGCCCGCCTTGTGGCATAAAAGCTTGTTTCACGCTGTCCTCGAAGTGGATCCAAGTGTGGTACTTTGACAATATTGGCCTTGTACATAACAGTAAGGCCACCCACATCCCTCCTGTGTTGAAGGCTCTGCTGAAATGACAGATCTATCCAGGATTGGGCCAGGCAAGAGACAAGACGTCTTGCTCTGTTCTCTACTCTGTCAAGCAGTCACAGATGAGAGGGGGGCAGGCAAACCAAGAAAGTGGAGCATACTCAAGGTGTGAGCGTACTTGTGCCTCATACAGAATCTTGCAATCCCTACTGTCAAGCAGATGAGAGATACGGCGAAATGCTGTAAGCTTCCTGGCTGCCTTGTTTGCAAAATTTACAACATGGCTCTTCATGGTCAGTTTGGAGTCAAATTTCACCCCAAGGATATCAACTTCTTCCCCAGGTGCCAACACCCTCCCATTCATCCTTACTACTGCACCAGCATTACCATCTCTCTCTCTCTCTCTCATTCTCTCTCTCTCATTCTCTCTTTCTCTCATTCTCTCTTTCATTCTCTCTTTCTCTCACTCTTGTTTATTCATTTTTATATTGTTTACTCACTCTCATCTACATTAAGATTATAAATATTTTAAGGTAAGTAATGAGTGTACTGTATATGCATTTTATCCCTCTAGGGAGCTTTAAATGTCATAGTATATTACGTGTGAGTGAGTTGGCCAGGAGGGCTACCATACCTACCACACTTGACTTTTTTTTTTTTTTTTTTTTTAACAAGTCGGCCATCTCCCACCGAGGCAGGGTGACCCAAAAAAGAAAGAAAATCCCCAAAAAGAAAATTCTTTCATCATCATTCAACACTTTCACCACAGTCACACATTATCACTGCTTTTGTAGAGGTGCTCAGAATACAACAGTTTAGAAGCATATACGTATAAAGATACACAACATATCCCTCCAAACTGCCAATATCCCAGTTTGGAGGGATATGTTGTGTATCTTTATACGTATATGCTTCTAAACTGTTGTATTCTGAGCATCTCTGCAAAAGCAGTGATAATGTGTGAGTGTGGTGAAAGTGTTGAATGATGATGAAAGTATTTTCTTTTTGGGGATTTTCTTTCTTTTTTGGGTCACCCTGCCTCGGTGGGAGATGGCCGACTTGTTGAGGAAAAAAAAAAAAAAAAAGTCAAGTGTGGTAGGTATGGTATGGTATATGGTATGGTGTGGTATAGGTATGGACTTCTTACAATAAATACTGCTCACCTCTCACCCTACATTAACACTACAAATATTTTGAGGTAAGTAATGAGTGTACTGTGTGTGTATATTTTACTTTTTGTCATTTTTTAATGCCTAGTTCTATTGCTAACTTAATATATGTTAGTGTAAACTTGTTATCTGTCATTTATATGCATTTATAAGCGGAAAAAAATAGCATTCTGCTCCCCAGCGATGTCCGCTTTCTAGCAGTAGCCTGGAACCTAACCTGCCATATAAGCTGGACCCTACTGTATAATGTTCCATTTATATTTATTGTTTGTAATGTTTTATTAGATATACGCATTTTAAAGGTGCCTGTCATGTTTTTAGAATTGTTGCATTGTGAGGAAGTCTTTGAAACATG